GAAAGAACCAAGATGTTTTATCAGTCTGTTGTACACAACAATTATATTTAAAAAATCTGGATCTAAAAAAAGATCTGGAGGTATTTACTGACTTAACAAAACTCCCAGAACTACCTCATAAATCTTTCCCAGTCTGTAGTCAGTGAAGAACACAATAGGCGGATTAGCAAGAAAAACTGGAATGGGTTCATGTGGATCACTGTGGACAAATGGGAGAAAAGTATTCATAAATTATATAACACTTCAGGGTTTGCAAAGAGGACAGGCAACACAATAGTTTGCACAACAACACTGCATATTTAGTAATAATAATAAACTTTATTTTATACAGTGCCTTTAAAGGTACTGCATGACTTCAAAAATATAATAATAAAAGAATGGGCAAATTTCCTAAGGTGCATATACAGTACATACATGTAAAATGAGCAAGGCCTTGGCTTAGGCAAACTAGGCAACTGCCTGGGGCCCCGAGACCACCAGTGGGCCCCCTTAATGTGCAACACAACATATTTTTATTTAATCGGCACATTCAATTGTGAGCCAAAAATTCCCTCCAGCTGCTTGTTCTGTTGCTGCTGTGCTAATCAAGGCTGTTAACATTTGTTAATTATAAATTATAATGTTATTAGCTGTGAATGTACAGTAAGTGTAGCAGTTTATTTCACTATCGATGTAGTAAACGACTTCACCATAAGATGATGGTATCAGTGCAATTTAAGCTGCTGCTACACCGAATTCTGTTTAATTTCTGAAAGTAGTAAGTAGTATGTAATTGTTCGAAATAGTATATAAGTTTGGGGTGGGAGCTGATAATCATAAGGTATATACAAATTGTGATTTGAAGGGGCACATTTCCAAGATCTTGCATAGGGCCTTGCATAAAAAGGTTGCCTAGGGCACACTCTAAAAATGAGTCCATCCATACTACAGACTGAAGATAAAATTACTTCTACTCCGAAGGCAGATAATATAAGAAGTCTCAGGCATTCGGGAGTCATGCACAAGGGCAAGCCGGAACACCACACAATCAAAGGTGTTGTTCTACTCTTATGATAGGCTATGGGAAAATAGCCTCTGTAATAAGTGCAAATAACATTCTCTTTCTGTTTTTCTCTCATCACTAAATTACATTTTTTATACACAAAATTAAATCTTTGTTCTACTTTGATCTTGATGACTTGTAGTAACTAGATTCAGTAAGTACATTATGGGGGTATCATTTATCACCAATGAATAATGCCCATTAGTAATAGTTTTATAGAAAACCATTGCTGATTATATAGTGAAAGTCATATGCACAAAATGATCAATTATCATGGCTGTCAGCTGACACAGCACTTGGTCTTATGATTGCCTCGGCTTCAGAGAACCCAAATGCCCTTATGCCTTGTTTATCATTAATGTGCTGATAATGCAAGATTGTCAGTAAGCACATTCTGAAATACAGGAGCACAGAAAGAACTAGCGTACAAAGCCGCATAGAAAATGATTTTGAAAAAGGGCAAAACTTTCATTCATTTTTTAGATATGTGGATAGTAGGAACTACAAAACTGAACCAAAGACTGAGTGAGGCCACATGTGCCAAATACAGTGCAACAATGACATACACACAATGTTATGTAGATCTTGAATATTACACAGAAATGAAAGGAGCGTATAGCGAGATTGCATTCAGACTCACTACAATCAATGAAAAGTTGCATTATAAAAAAGAACCATTTAAAGACCATTCTCACCCATCTTACCAACATAGACACAAGTTCAATCTCCTTTTCCATTCACAAAATTCTGTTTGAATCCTGCTGTGTGTATTAACACAGCCTGAACCTGCCATGGGAAATTTCATCTGACAGCATTTACAATAAATTAGGAACCAATAACACCTTTAGTCACTGAGAGATTATGTGCTGAATTCAGTTAGATGGAATATCACAATATAAGAACAAAATTGTTTTTTCTTCTATGTTCTTTATATCCTCTTTTCCTCACTCTGGAATTAAACACTAGAACCACGCCTTACCTTTCCTCCACGAGGATCCTTCGGCCAGCCACCATCTTCTCTACCTTCTTTACAGGGAAGATCAGGGACTTCCCACCGCGATGGGCATTGGGAGGCAAGAAGCGAGGGTTTCGGAGCAAATTGTGACGCTCCTCCAATTTCAGGAGAGCAGCTGTCTCCTCAGGCCAGCTGCTTCCACTCTCTTCTTTCTTCACTGTCTTTCTAGCTTGGCTGGATTTCTGGAACAGAGATGTTTTAACTTTTCTAACTAATGAAAATGTTCTACAGTCTACCATTTCCTGATCAGTTCTTACAGGGATCACTGTGTGTATACTCACATGTAGTACATTATGAGTTACAGAAAACTAAAAGTTTGCATTTCCATGTAATTCTATCATGCAGTACCTGCAATCTCTCCAAAAAGTGTTTGTACCCTTGGTAAAAAGCTATTCAAAAATGTATACCTTAACTCTAATGTTTCTTGTATGCTAAAGCTTAATGCTGCTCTGTCACATTTTAAAGAGCCAAAGTGAATGTCCAACATCTTGCAACATATTTGTAAAGAATACAGTATATTCACTTTACCTGGAATCTACAGTGGTGTGTGAAAAGGTTTGTCTTTTTTTACATTTTTGGACAAAAGGATATCTTATCATTTTTTCAACAATACTGATAGATAAATGTGATCTAATTTTAAAAATACCATTGAAATTCACATTTTGCACTCATTTGGGCTATTTAAATTAACAGAAATGTAATTTCCTTGTGTGGACGAAGTTAGTACACCCCTACCTTTATCACTGCATCAAATGTCTAAAATTAGAATCAGGTGAACAGATGAGACAAAGGTAGAGCGGTTTGGCCACAAAACCAGACATCATGTTTGGCAAAAAACAAAAACAGTCTTTGACCAAAAGAACCTCATACCAACTGCAAAGCATGGTGGTGGAAGCATTATGGTTTGGGGCTGCCTCTGGGCCTGGCCAGCTTGCCATCATAGAGTCAACCATGAATTCCACATTGTACCAGAGAGTACTTGAGGAGAATGTGAGACCATCTGTCAAAAATCTGAAGCTGAACCGTGCAACAAGACAATGACCCAAAACACTCAAGCAAATCCACAAAAGAATGGCTCAAAAAGAAGAAATGGAGGGTTATAAAATGGCCAAGTCAAATCCCAGATCTTAAGCCCATAGAAATCCTGCAGGGGGACTTGTAGAGGGTAGAACATGCAAGAAAGCCCTCAAACATCACACAGTTGAAGGAGTTCAGTAAGGAGGAGTGGGCAAACATTTCTCCAAGTTGATGTAAGAGACTGATAGACAATTACAAGTACTTATTTTTTCCACAGCAGACAATTGCATTTCTGACTTTTTTTGTTGGATAAATGATTGCAAAGAATAATTTTCATTGCACTTAAATTAGATCACCTTTATCTATCAATATTGTTGAAATGAAGATCAAATATCCATACATGTAAATATGTTGAAAAACACACACTTTCATGGGGTGTACTTACTTTTCACAGCACTGTATTTCTCTTAGGTAGTGCAATACTTTCATACATATGACAAAAGAGACACATAAATTGATGTACTACATAAAATTAAACATTCTTCTTTTATGCAGAGACTTTTTTCCACTGTTTTAGTTTAAACCTGGTATATATGTAATTATATGGAATATATGGAATTCCATGGCTGTCATGATGTTCTGTACAACAACAAAGGTGTGTTCTGATATACAACCAATGGCTCGGTTAATTGGGCTGCCAGGTATGTTAAAAGGCAGGAACATGAATATCGAAATATGAGGAGCTGAACTAAACTCTACAACACTACAAAAACACACTGACAAGCTTATGTGCTACCTGATGTATGTTTGGAAGTACAAGATTCACAAATCAAGCAAAGAAGAGTTTTTTTTTTCCTGGTAAGTGTACTCACTATTAAAGGAGAGTGTCTTTAAAGTTAAAGATACGTTAAATACATTTATTTTGTATTTTCCCCTGGAGAATTCTATGCATTCCATCAGGATCGTGTCCAGGCAACTTCCATGAATCAGTTTTCAATGAGCATACTTCAGTGAGAAACAATCTATTAAAGACTTGCTGTTTTGACTAGTCAGAGATCATTAATATTCACATTCCTGCAATTCAAAAACAACACAACTCTTATAGGCATTTCTTGTAAAATGCATTCTGTATGAAAACCTGTTTCACATGTCAAAGTTCACTGAAGTTTTGATGACAAGACCTTATTAGAGTAGCTCAAATGGGTGATGTGGTAATTCAAAGAATTTTCTGCTTGCTCTTAAAAACAACATAACCCTGAAACAACATATCATTCCTTGTACGATACATAATATGCTTCAAGAAGTTTTTAATTTTAATAATTTAAATGTTGTATTGTTTAAATATTTGTAAAGCCATAATTACCCATTTTTTTTGTATTCTTCCATTTGAGAATTGCCAGTTGTCACTAAGGCAGATCAATATGCCACATGCGTCTCTTCATGAACCCCATATCAGCCAAAGGACATCAAGCATAGCCCTAAAGCGGCTCACACTAACTACAAACTCACAGGTGCACAAAACACTGAGATCATCACTCTGTTGACACTTAGCCAGATCTGACAAAGCTCATTATCTCTTGCGGTACTTGCACTTGCAACCCAGAACTGCAGGATTAAACCTACACTCTGAATTAGTTATAGTGGTTGATCCAATGATGGTTTTTCAAAATGGATCTAGAAGGTCAAGTATCTTAAACTGTGCAATATGTCAATACGTAAAATTTGTTTCCAATTAATTTTACATGAAAAAAAAACACCCTGCAGATTTATTTATGATTCTCTAAATAATTGTGGAAATTTTGTATCAGGTAATAAGCTGGGTGAGTCTGAAAACTCACTTTGTTAGAAGATTTTGTAACTGTGAAGTTGCTGTCTGGAGTTGAAGGCAGAGTGAGGGACCCTTCTGACTCCTCTAATAGGCTCTCGGCTGTGGCATGAGGAGGTGGGATTTCTGTGTAGCCATCATCCTGAGGAAGGCGAGAAATGTGCTTACTGAAGCTGAGTGTTGGGTTGATAAATCCTGGAGTAGATTTACCTAAGGAAATATACAATACAAAGTAGGGTACAGCTTTAGTCAACTTTTATCTGGTAAGGTCAGGCAGTCCTGGCATTAATCTACAGTACTTCAAAGATATGTCAAAATGAATCTTTTGCCACTTTTTTGAAAAGAGCAGAATGATTTATTTGCCTATGTTAAAAATCCATCAATAAAGATGAGGTTAAAAGGTACAAGCCTTTCTTCGTATTGAAATTGCAGATGCTTAAGATTGAAAAAGATACATTTTTATGAAAAGTATTTTGTTTTCTTTTTTGAATGGATATAGCAACAACTATAAAGCATGTATATGGTTAGGTTAGCTGGAAGTCCTAAGTTAAACTCTTTTTGGTTTGTCGGCTGCTTCTCTGGACCTTTTGTTTTTATTCTGAAAGTACCTCTGGGTGCTTTTGTCATCAGACGTTGCTCGGTGATATAGTCCTCTGGACAAATCAAATTGTGTTGTTTTAGAAGACTGTTGTCCACACACCACCTAAAGGTTGACTTCACTGAGGAAAAAAATAAAAATGTCTTATTTTATGTTACAGTCTATGAGAAACTTAGCACAGAATATAAGCAATCCTTTTACACTACACATCACATCCTTATTTCATTAATAATTACACAAATGTCCAGTTTCAGTTCAACACATATACATACACATATACAGTGCCTAGTAAAAGCATTCAGACCCTGCACAGTTTTCAAATTTTGTTGGTATAAAGTTTGCTGTTTGAGGAAGTAATTCATATATGTTATACACACAACCTACTCCACACATTCAATGCAAAAAAAAAAACAAAATAGAAGAAATAAAGCAATAATAAGAATTAAACAAAAAGTCAAGACTGCAATCATTTTGTTATGGCAAACCTAAATTAATTTTGGTGCACAATATTGCCCTAATAATTCACACAATTAGTTGAGCATCATCGTCATCGACTCAACCTTGAAGACTAAGGAGCTTTCCAAGCAAATCAGAGATATTAAAGTAATTTAAAATCACAGAGCTGGAAACAGAGTAGAAAAATATCAAAGCCGTAAAAACAACCTACTCGACCATCAAGAAACGGAAGGTGCTTCATACCACCAACAACCAGACACTTTCTAGACTGCCTCCACACTAAGCAGCAGGGCAAGGAGAAAACTAGTGAGGGATGCCACTGTGAGACCAACGACAACTTTGAAAGAGCTACAGAGTTCAAAGGCAGAAAAAAATGTGTATCAATCAATAATCTTCCTATCTCTCCATAACCCTGGCCAGGCTGTATGGCACAGAGGTCACACACAGGGACCTACCTACCTATCATATACACCATATGAAGTGTATGAATACTTTTGCAAGGCACTGTATAAGCTGTTACATTCGTGTGCATAACAGATTTAGCAGAATATAAACCTTAATTCCTTTAATTTTGCACTGATACTTGACTAGTAGTGAGCATGACCTAGTAATGACAGTACCAAACATCAAAACACCACAAGTGGCAAACCCATTGTTTACCAGGAGGAAGGCCCAGACTGTAGTAAAGGTCTCCCGCTTCTTCGACAGTCCTGCTCAGAGCCCTCTCTTCAGCTGCTGTAGCACGAGCCCGACTCTGGATGATGTGTTTCTCCAGCATGTCAGCTTCTGCCAGTCGCCTGTTGTACTCTGCATGGACCTTAGCAAGGAGAGCAGTCCAGGAACAATCAAACTACTGCTCGATGTCACAGGAAAGATGAACTGGGCAACGTTAAGTGAAATATCTGCTCTATTTCAAGTTCCAAATAAAACTCAGCACAATTTCAACATCTATGTTCCTCCTATGAGGAACTAAAAAAAATGTATTATAAACAATCTAATTATGTGAGAGTTCTTTAATTACTTGGAATTAATTATGATGATCTGGAATTTGTTTCATGAAAACATACAACCTATGAAACAGTACTAACTGGATAGCTTACTTCTATTAAAGAATACTTTAATGGTTCATTCTGTTACTTCAAATGTCCTGTCCATTTTTATTAATCCTAACAGAAGGAGATCTTGACTGCATATTGATAGTTATCTGATGCTGATATGTTCTTCCGCATAAAATTAAACATATTCATAATATTTAAATGTGATGACAGTTTTTAATCTGCATTGATTATGGTCACAAACACCACATGAAACCTTAACACTAGCAGTTTACAGTACTTGACAACTTTTGTTATTATTGCTAATAGAAAGTGTTTTCAGCTGCAGCCAGATAACCACTGTGTCTACATTAACCACTGTGACATAGGGAAATGTCTAACGCTGTGCTTTCACTGTGCTTGGGCAGAACGGTAGCTCTGTGGCTAAGGATCTGTGCCTGTGGCTAGAAGGGTGCCAGTTCAAATCCTGCGGCCAGCAGAGGAATCCTACTCTGTTGGGCTCCTGAGCAAGGCCCGTAACCCCAACTGCTTCAGGGGTGCTGTATAAATGGCTGACCAAGTGTTCTGACCCCAAGCTTCTCTCTCCCCATCTGTGTGTCTCATGGAGAGCAAGTTGGGGTATTCGAAAAGACAACTTCCTAATGCAAGAAATTGTATATGGCTAATAAAGTGATCTCTTTTATGCATCTTTTAATAAACAGCCATTATCTTAAAGTAATTAGGGACATGCAATGTTTTGAATTGTGATGATTAAGTCCTTTGGATACCTTTTGAAGTTCTTCCACATACTTCTCATGGTAGCTATTTCCTCCACCCCGGGATTTCTCTAGATTGGCAATCTTGTCTTTTCCTATGATCTCTGATGTGTAGAGCTGCTTGAAAATGCTAGCCAACAAATGAGAAATATCCTGGCCGAAAAGACAAAACAATAAACTAATAACTTTAATGAACATTTTGAAGACTGCTTTGACCTTAAAGACACTAGTACAAACAATAATAAAGAATTCTCAATGTGCAGACACATATGAATCTAATTATATACATTTGTTTGGAATGTCTGTTATTAAGATTCTGTTAATTAGTGCATGGTGGACAACATCAGACACTAAGACAACATCAGACACACTCAGTACATGTACAGTATAAACAAGATTATATATTATATCTAGACATCAAGTAAATTATGCGTGCATGTCTATATATATTTTGATCATTCTTTTTTATAACATAAAGGATTTAAAGATGCTGATAAATTCATAAAAATTCACAAAGCAGCTACTTGTTACCAACATTTTTCATCTATTCACCAGATATCACAATTTTAGTTTTATATGTCAGTATCCACTTTATCTTTAGAAGGTGGCAGTGAGCCAGGCCGACACAGGCATAAGACTACAGCCTGAATGGGATGTCTGTCCATTGCAGGGCACAGACACTCACTCATAAAAAGAGCAAGTTAATGACACCACTGAATCTAGTTGCAAAGGAACAGGTAAAAGTTAATTCCACACTGAAATGAAAAGATGAAGGCTCCAATGCCGAAACGTTGTCTTTTCTTTTCCGTTCAGCATGGGATAAACCTTTACCTTTTCCTTTGCAGCCTATGCATGCTAATGCAGCTATTGTACCAACTCAAACGGCTTCAACAAATCTAGGTGCCATGTCTTCGGACTGTGGTTGAAAAATGGAAAGCCCAGGGGAAACCTACTGAACATGGACAAAAGAAGAACACACAAACTCCACACCTTTGGAGTTCACGTCCAGAATCAAAATGAGGACCCAAGATCTGAAAGGCAGCAGCACTAACTGCCTCCCACTGTGCCAGCCCAGGAACTGACATTATAAGGAGGAAATGGGTCCCCTTCTATGTTTGTTCTTTTTCTTTGGGCTGAAAAGAGCTATACAAATGTTATTTTTTATAAATATTAACATACTAGCATGTACATTTATATGCTAATTTGCCCTCCATGATGTGTTACACTGTAGAACGTTAATCAGAACAGGTGCGTATGCAATACTATGCCTATTTTTACTATGTATTTTTTATTTGAATTTTATCCTTATTTCCAAATATTATTTTAATAGCTCTTTCAAATTAGCCTGATCCATAAAGGTGGACAATGTTGGCTCTATTTACAAACTTAAGTGAATATTCAGATTTGTTGATCTTATAACGTATATTATGTGCATGATATACAATTCTGAACAATCTAATAAGTATGTAAATATTTGATGGATCATCCAATGGACAGCCTCTGAACCCTATACAGGGGCACTGGTCTGAAAATTCTCGTCCAGGTGGAAGAGCCTCATTGCCCAGTAATACAATATACTTCTTGATTTGTACATGTTTCAATATATAACACATACTTTACATTTATAACTTACAAAGTAGAAAATATAGCTTTCTTTGCAGTAATTAACGTATAATACATGACTTACAATGTACATCTTTGGAGTTACTGTAGATGTACATTGTAAATTATGTTACAGAAACAGCATAAACTATAAAGCCTTAAAAACGGTTGCACTCTATATTCCAAATTCTTTTTACAAGACAAAAATAAATACTGGATTATCGGTATATCTGTGCTGTTTAAATAACGGGGTATTTCTCAAATTGCACGCTGCAGTATTATGCTTTCTCTCCAAGAATGTTCCTTACGGCGGCGTTAATATGTATTGAATCTCGTTTTCTAAATTCTAAATAGAATTATCATTCAACAAATAAGGAATAAACCAGTCCATCTGTGAAAATAAAACCTAAAGCTACCCATTAACTTGGTTATGAATATCATAGGTACAGAACATCTGGAACTGCATTCTCTTAGAATGGATTGTTCTTTATGATGATGACTAAATTACAAGAAAAAATATGAGCACCCTTGATAAATTTCCTGTTCTGATACCATTTTATCGGGCAGGGGTTAAAATAAAACAGCGGAACATATCGATTCAGGTAAAACCGTGAGTTATCGTATGCGTACCCCGACGTTGTGTACTACTGTTATATCTCACCTGCGTTTTCTCCGAGGCTGGTCTGTGTCTGTTCATAGGCGGCTCGGAACCGCAAGACGTATTAAGTGATGGTTCCTGCAACATGATCACACTTGCAGAAAACCCAAAAAGGCAACGCACGTTTCCAGAAATGTACAGAAATAACGCAATACCTAGCACACTCGGATAAACCCGGCTATATGGTTATTTATAAGTAACGTGACCGAATTATGTTGTTTAACGTGAAAAGGTGGACGTCGCATTACTTTTGATAAGACATAAGGAGGCAGACATAAATGCAGATTTTACAACACGATAAAACCACACTTCCAACCACCGCGCTTCCATCTTTGTTTACAAACTGTAACCATAGGAACAGCTTTAAAGGAAGGTTACTCCTTAAAGGAGCCTCTCTCTAATACAGATTAGACAAGTACAGAGACAATTACTTTAGCTCCTTCAAGCAATACAACAACATGCATCAGTTCAGTATGAGAAAGCTGTTAAAAAAACATAGATAATAATGAAGGAATACAAATATTGTTTTATTTTTATGCATGGATGGGTGGGTTTAAACAATTCTTCTGGAAAGACCTCTTCTGTTGAGAGAGTAATTTATCAGAATAGCGTACTGTATACAGAAAGTCCAACGTTAGAGTACATAAAATAGCTGAAAAGGCAGCATACTTCAATTCTCCACAAAAGATAAAGTTCTAATTTATTCGGTAAACCGCCCTTTGTGACAAAAAAGATACTTTCCACAATTACACTGTTCTTTAACCGGGTGAACAATCCTCGTGTCCATGACAAAGAATTTTGCAAAGAAAGGAAACTTACAAGGGTATAAACTAGTGTCTATTTACTATTAGTGTAGCATAATGCATTTCAATATAAAACATTCGATAAACACAATAATGAACTTAGACAAACAAGACTGAGCATAGCTTAAATATGCAGGAAAAATAGACTTACTTTAGACGAGGAGTACTTTGCTGAGTAGAGAGTGAGCACAGAATAATATGTAACATTAACACAGGCTCACTGCAATAAAACCCAAACCAATCAAATAAAAAATCACTTGCTTCTGGATACTAACAGTACTCAACTTAAGTTACGCAAAAATAGCTTATTCTACGGAAAGAAAACATAATACAGATATATAAAAACCTTTTTGTTTTCCAACTTTTTAATGTAAATGAAACACAAAGATAATCCGTTAATGAATGTAATGTTATCATATACGGTACAGTATATACATACAGTAGCAGTTTATTATCGGCATGGCCGTGGAAATCAATATAATCTCTACAGATAACATTACCTAAAGAGAGCAGGAATAGCGGGAAATGTTAGGAAAGTATAAGTTATATGAAGCATATGGAAATCAGTCATTTGTAGCTCTTCATTTAATAGTTTGGAAGGGGTTGCTTTTGGGCATACAGTGTAGGTAGTTTTATTTCACACATAGACCAGTTATTGCATAAATGGTAAGTTCTGCATGTAAGTTTACTATGAAAAAAGATTCAAAGTTATGTAGTGTCTCAGTAGTACCTAGGAAAGTTTTAGGGAAGTGGTATTTGAGGAAATGTATTCTTAGATTTGAACACATTCAAATGTAATCATTTTGTTGAAAAAGTAGAAGGGATTTTAGTTTGTAAGTTTCACAACTGTATTAAAAAGGGAGTAGTGTTTAGACTAATGTGAATCTATTAATAGTAAATGAATTGAACTCTGCCTGAAATGTAGAGTAAATACAGGTAGCTGCAGCTTGAAGTGAGAGTTTAGGTATATGAATTATAAATTATGTTGATTTTAATTGTTTCCAGCACAAATGGTTTCTCAATTATTAACAAAGTCATTTTTTTATCACACCATGGTATTTCCTTTTCAGTACCTGAGGCAGATAATTTTTGTAGTATTATTCTTTGAATGACGCAAAGGTTGGTCTGAAAACCTCCATGGAGTAAAAGTAATTTTCAAGCTTATAGTCAGCTTTCTTCAGCAAAGTGCAGAGCTTTCTCCTGTTTAAAACTATAAAATGTCTCTCTAGTCTAGCTCAAGCAGCTGAAAACTCGTCCTAGATGTCAACTTCTCAAAAGCTATATACTGGTTTTGTGACTAAACAGTTTTGCATCCAGGGGTGGTGACAAAAGTCATAAAGAACTGCACAGGAAGCCAAAATGAAATGCAAAACAAGGGGACGTTTACTTGCGTTCTTCAGTGCAGAAATATTTGCAAAAGAAAGAGAAAATAACCACAAAAAAAGGTAGCCCAAAACTATAGCAATGGGAAAAACTCTTTATGAAATTCCAGGCCCAAGCTGTGAACAAGCAAGCATACAGACAAGGATTACAGGGTCTGTAATCTAACACAAAATGGTGGAATAGAGAGGAGAGAAAAACACTGAAATTCAAATTATTATGGTTCTCAAACAACAACAGGTAACATACAGGAGAAGAAACAAAGAACACAAAACCTCCATAACAAAAAAGCGATCTTCAATTTAAACATAAGAATAAGATCAATTTAGATAAGTGGATTCTGGAGATTGATTATGTCAATGATACTGAACAGCTGAGTGTAGGTCATGTAATTAAAGCATGAAACAACCCTTCACCACATGTTATGTATAATTAGTAAATAGCATAGTTTACTTTACTGACAATACCAAAAAAGGGGGGATTTATAAATGCTGTAAAACCAGCAAATACAATTTAAAAGATTTAGATAAATTTCAAGGCTAGGTAAATGCATGGACAGATTTAGTAATTTGTTACATCATATAGGAAAAATAATAGGAGATTTAATCGCAAGTCTGATTAAGACATCCTTCTTTTGCCTTAGAAATATTGCCCGCATTAGGCATTTCTTAACAATGTTCGATGCTCTATTTTCAGCAAGTTTCAATATGTTCAAAACTCTGCAGCTAGATTACTTACACCAGACCCTGGCATCATATCACTCCTACATTGTTTCTACATTGGTTGACTATAGAGTCACGTATTCAATACAAGATCTTGTTACTGAATCTTTAAATCTGGCTCCATCACACATCTCTGAACCCCTCAATGTTTACACTCCCCCAGTAGGCTCTGTTCAGTTGAGGCTAGCCCTCTACTCACTGTCCCCAAGACTAAATCATGGACTTTAGGTGACTGTGGCTTACCTGTCACTCCTCCAGACTATACGAGAGACAACTTCTTTAACTCTCTTCATATTTCAACTTAAAACGTACCTTTTTACCAAGGTTTACATCTGATTGCCTACAGTCTATCTATAAAAACATGTGTGCTTTTTATTTTCTATTCTTTCTTTATATGATGTACAGCATCCTTAGGTTTGGAAAGGTGCTTTTTAAATACAAGCTATTATTTTTGAAATTATTTTTGAATATAAAATGTTTCAAAACAACATTAAATGCTCATCCAAATAACAAAAACATATAGTATGTATGTAATACTATGTATTTATACTAGTTCCACAATTCAGTTATGTGACAATTATATATAAGTGATAGAATACATACCCGCTACATTCAACAAGTTACTTGAAGTAAATTACAGGAAACTAAAATAATATTTGTTTTGTATGTATCTGATGCTTTTCTCCAAACCAACTTAGTTTTGTACCTATTTATACACCTGGGCATTTTTCTGAAGTAATTTGAAGTGAAATACCTGGCTTAAGGGCAAACCCACAGTGCTGATTTGAGCCCATGACATTCTAAGTATGAGATTACAGACTTAATCAGTGCTTGCTGTTAGATTTATATTAAAATAGCATATGTTCTACAAAATTTGGTGAAGTCATATAAAGACTATAAACCTGCTATTCTAAAAATTAACAGACTCTATCACTAGTTTAAATGGAAACCGGTTAAACAGAAAAAAAAACTTGGATACCCTCCAAGCTTTTGGTTTGGTTGCTGTTTTCAGCAGTAACCATCGACCAAACAGGTATTCAGAGCATGATTGAACATGTTACTCTGCACCTACCTCCAAGTAACAACCCACCAAACAAGAAAAATGGAATTCCTTTTCTTTGACAGACCTCACCATGTGGCTGGTACACTTTTTAAAGGTACAGTCACAGTGTAACCATTGTGTAATTTGGAACTTTGTTTTAAAAAGTGGTTTCATTCTGGATTTCAACATAAAAAAATAATTTACCTTGTATTACCTCTTACAATTTAGGCTGGTCTGGTAAACATGTTTTAAGTTTACATGTGTAATATTTGTTTTTTATAAATGTTAAACATGTCTTTTCATGTCCCATTTTCTTTATCTTTGAAGAGCTTGTGTATTCACACCCATAGCCTTTGAATTATTCTCTCAGAGTGTGTCTTTCCATTACTTGACTTTTCCTGACCATAACCCAGATGAAGTGTTAAAAATGTTTATTTCAATTCTATGACTTCCATTTCACTGAGCATTTTAAACTCAGAGTTTTTTTTCTGAGTATCCAAATGTACCTCTACATTAAAAAAAATAGTTAAATATTTGTTTCAGCATTACCTATCAAGCAGAAGGTGTAGCCTTGTATACTGTATGATACTATTTTGCTGCATACAGTTCTGTGTTCTGTGCTATGTATTTTGATGGTATGGTATCACCTTCCAGACCATTGAGGTGAGAACAGTTTTTGTCCAGGGTGGTTATAATCCAGTAATATGGCACAGGTTTTACTGTGGCAATTTTGGTTGACATAGATCTCATCAACTGAGAGTAAGTCAGATCCTGTGAGCTTTTTTTCAGATGTCACAACCCTCTGTATGGGCTCCATATCCTGTGTGGTTGTGCGATACTATACAGTCATGCCACTAGTCAAGATGCTCCCCATGGTACAGTAATAAAAGCTCAAGAATACACTTGTGCTTTTCTCAGAATGAGTTTGGTATTGTGAGTTCATGCCAGGTCATTGGAAATCTACAACCGTAGGAATCAGAAGCAACTAACAATTCCCATTGATGCTCAATCATTGCTAATCAGAGTGTGACACTCTTTATGTCTCCTGAAGACTACCATGACATTGTGAATGTCCACATTCTGTCCTGAATGATACAATAATAGAATGAGAGATGACAAACTGCTTCAGTTTTCTCTTTGTTATGCATGTATAATATAAAATATATGTTTATATTATATACTGTATATATTTATATGATATTTATATAGGAACAAGTAATAGGTTTATTCCATGCTGAAAAAAAGAAGAAAGAGAACACAACGTTTCGGCCATGGAGCCTTCTTCAGGTGTGAGAGAGACAGGGCAGTAGGCAAAGGTAAAGTAGCGGGAGAACAAAGGTTGGGAGGGAGGAGGAGTGAGAGGCGGGAGCAGGGGACAGAAA